TTGAATTTGACTTGGAAAAGGTTGAAATTGACTTGGAAATGCTATATATTTTATTTTTTATTTTTTACTGGTTACATACTTTTTAAATAATGTATATAATATTAAAATTTTTATAAGTTAGTTTTTGGCCAGATTTGTACTTTACTTTGTATTAACTCATCATTGTTATTCTAAAGGGACTTAGTCCCAGAATAAAGTTTAATTTTCTATTCTATTCTAAAGGATAGGAGCTAGGATACTACCTTGAGAAACACCAGCAAACTGAGAAAAAAAGAGATGAATAAGCATTATGATTTACTTTGCAGAATCTGTCAGTAAGATAAGAACGGATAATGAAGAAGTATGTAGGTGGTAGGAGTTTATGGAGTTAGTACATCAGTCCCGGATGCCAGACTCTATCAAACGCCTGGTCAACGTCAAGAAAGACTCCCGTGCAGTACATTCCATCCTCCAGTACGCTCCAATGCAGAAGAGACTGCATCTACCACACGATGGCATTGCTGAATAGTGGAGTGGGATGTGCGGAATCCAAATTGGTGATCTGGGATAATGTGTTTAGCGTATAAGATGGGATACAGGCGTTTTAACAAGAGTATTTTCCAGAATTTTGCCCATAATGGGTAAAAGAGAGATAGGACAGTAAGAGGATGGGAGTTCTGGCGGCTTTATGGGTTTAGGTATCATTTTGACAACGGATAGTTTCCAAGGGTCAGGAAAATATGTGGTTCAGAGTACAGCATTATATATATATATAGGTGAGGAACAATATGGCTTTTTTAGGATCTGGGATGTGATTAGGTCATGGCCAGGAGCTTTGCGGGAAGGTAATCTATGAATGATATTGGATATTTCTGAAGGATGAAATGCTTTAGGTGGTGGGTTCAATAGGAGTGGGATATCCAATTCTGCTTCAATAAACTCAAGGTGGGTTGGATTAAGGATATCTGGTGTAGATTAAATGTTTTGAAGAGGTGCAGAGCAAATATTTGAGATTTTTCTTCGTCAGATCTGGACCAGGTTTGGGTTTCAGTAATAAGTGGGTATATTTAGCTGATAGAAAATATAATTACTGTGTTGTTATTATAATTTTTGCTGTTATTATACTTCCAAAATTATTATTTTTGTTATTATTATACTTCTGCCTAAATAAAATCTAGTGAATCTTGGTTCAAACTATTTTCTGAGTATTTAAGAGGTAGGTTAAAAGCTAAATAAGAAAATTTTTATTGATAACGCTATTTTCTCCATTCCACTTCATAGAATTAGTTTGATATTAGCCAGATAATGATATATAACTGCCTCTTCTTTTTTTAAAGATTGGGAAAACTTGTTAAAATATCTATTAAACATCGAGTAAGTAAAAGAGGTAGCTGGACTGATCAAATGCATAATAAACTATTGTTATCTTTTTTTAAACATTCTTATTACATAGATGAGTGATATAAAAAGAAAACGATTTTGCGGAGAAGAGTTACAGTTCCTTACATCTCTAGTTCTCGAAAAAGCTGATGTTATAGAAAATGAAGATACAGATACTGTTTCAAATAAAAAAAAAAGCTTGGGAAGAAATTCTTGCTGAATTCAATATGAACATTGTTTTCCCCACTACTCTCGACCTATTCAGTAGTAGAAGGTAATGGTGTTGTTACTGTACAATAACTTGTTGTTTTATTATTATCTATGGGAGACTCAATAAATATTTAGTGTGTAGGAAATACATTTCCTCACTTCACAAGTTTAAGAAAGAGTGCCTATCCTGGAAAACTCTTGGAAAGTATCAAGTTTGCTGCAATATCCTTATCAAGTGTATCAGTGTTCTCATATATTTTGATTTTTTGGTGTTCATAGTATTATTTATATGATAATAGCTAAAATAGAAAGACAGAAAGCCTATGTAAGTCAATTAGCTTTGTCAGAACTTATCATCCTATGTTTTGCATTTATAGAATTTGTTCCTTTGATGATAGCAGGTTGTAATGTTACAATATTAATTTATCATGTAATTGAATTTAAATTTTTCAAACATTTCCAATTATTTTTTCCTTGTAACTGACAATGATCCAGTTTTAATCTAAGAACTACTTATTACTGAACCATTTAAAGTGGTGTAAGTAAAAAAGTAAAACTTTTAGATATTGATACCTTACAAGAAGTACTATAAAGCCAGGTATTGATTTATATAAATTTCTTAGTAAGGAATTACAACTCACTTTTTCTGATAAAAATACTAAGTCTTAAGCATATCCAACAATTTAACACAACTCTATGGATTTATATTTATTTAACTCTATGGATAGTTAGACCATTGCCCTCTTAATTAGGGGATGCCTAAAAGTTGAAACATACTAGTAAGAACAGGATGATTAATATTTAATTTAATAATATTTAACTTATAGGAAGTGCAATTTTAGTTATTATTTTACTTCTGAAATATTGCGTTTACTATTTTTTTTAAAACTTATTTTTATGTACACCAATTTGTGAAGTTTCAAGCTTCAGATTCTTTATTTATTGTAATAGATGTTTTAGCCCCACTTTGTGGGTCGGGTTCTATTTTCTTTAATAAACTATCTCACATCAATTTTTTAAAAAATATTTCTTGGTATCAAATTGTCAATGCCAAGGATTAGAACTATTAAAATAGGTTCGTTGAAACATTTTAGGAAAAAAGTTATAGTAATAAAAGTTCTAAGGAAGATATACAAAAACACATAACAAAATATATGTAAAATGTAGTCAATTTCAAAACATAAATTAAATGAATAGGTCAACAATAAGTAATCATGATTAATAAAACTGAATTGATATTTAACAATTTAAAAATATTGAGGTGTAAATAAAAATGAAAGTATTAGGTTTATCCTAGTAGAGATAACATTTGGGCTTGGCGTTCATTTGACAAACTTGACATTAATATTTGGCATATTATTACAATATTTTAAAAAATACATCTTGATTTCTTAGTAAAGACATTAATTTTTAGTAAATCTTAATTTTTTAGTCAAATCTTATCTGACTTGAATTCCTCAATTTATCTTCCTTATTTCTTTTTTTGTATATATATTGTATTTCTCATTGTGTCCTAAACCAGGTTCTATCCCAGGAAATTATTTTATTTATATTACTTTATTCAGAACAAACCATAATCCATCACCCGAGTTTTGGTCCTCCAAATCTGCCAGATAAACTTTGGCATAGTTTAATGACTCCCTAAAACAACATTCCATTGGGTCTAAGAGATATATTAGGAAAATCAGTGGTAGAGGTCAGCAGAACAAGCAGTAATAGTGAAATATTTACCAATTGGGATACTGAATGGTGGAAACTGTGTATAATGGTTCATTGAAAATAATATCAAAATTTTAAATGAATTAAGGGATTGAACAGCACCAACAGTTGTTAAACAAAAAATCAGGGTGGTGTGTGCAACATACAATTTTCACTTATCAACTTTTTTAAAAGCAGAAATAGGTATTTTCAGAAAAAGGGAAATTGAAGTAGATAATAAAACAGGTTTTTAAATATATTTATTAATGGAATGGTATAAGTCATTTTCATAATAAATAATTAATTGATTATTTAGTTTGTTAAATTCATACTTTATTTTTTGACTTGAGCATCCACAAAAAGAAATTAATGTTTTAAAGAATTATTAAGTTCATTAGTTATGCATTAAGTTATGCTTTTTTTCCTCTTTTAAAGTTAATTTATGGCACTTTTACTCTCTATCGAAATAAACGTATCAAGTTTGTTTTAAATAATTTTAAGTGAAAATACATACATAGCTGTGTTCTCAGTTAGCATTGAATTCAGCAACAATTTCTCTTTTTTTTTTTTTATTTGAAACAGTATCTGTATCTTTATTTTCTATAACATCAACTTTTTCGAGAACTAGAGATGTGAGGAACTGTAACTACTCCTCTCCACAAAATTGTTTTCTTTTTATATCACTCATCTATGTAATAAGAATGTTTAAAAAATATATAATAATAGTTTATTATGTATTTGATCAGTCCACTTACCTCCTTTACTTACTCGATGTTTAATAGATATTTTAACACGTTTTCCCAATGTTTAAGAAAAGAAGAAGCGGTTATATATCATTATCTGGCTAATATCAAACTAATTCTATGAAGTGGAGTGGAGAAAATAGTGTTTTCAATAAAATTTTTCTTATTTAGCTTTTAACCTACCTCTTAAATACTCAAAAAATAGTTTGAACCAAGATTCACTAGATTTTATTTAGGTAGAAGTATAATAATAACAAAAATAATAATTTTAGGAGTATAATGACACCAAAATAATAATAACAACACGGTAATTATATTTTCTATCTGCTAAATCTAAGTTGTAGTGAGTGGGGGAAGTAAAGGGGAGTTTTGGAAATGATTAAGGGCCCTGTATATCTCCTAAATGTCTCCTGTAATAGAAAGGAAGTTGAAGGGGTGGACACCGACTACCAGCATTTTAGGGACCATAAGGAAATAGTGGAGGATAAGGGACGACTATGCATACCACCAATAAAGTTACTACTGATCTAACTTAGAAGGGTTGAAGACAAAATAGTAAAGTGATACTATATTTTTATAGAAAATTTAATGTTCAACTTTCTTTCTCAAGACTTTTTCGTAGAATGAAGACATAAACAGTTAGCAAGCCAAACATGAGGCCAACTTTTTTTTTTAATGTATTATGAGGACGGATATCTTGGAAACTGCAAGATAGGGAAACATTAATTATAATCAATCCTGCAGCAAATTTTGTCAACTTTAATTTTATAACAGAATACCCTTATTGCTATGAGGCATATTTTCCATGATATAAGCAAATATAGAAAAAGAATTTGAAATTATGAAAATATTTCAGAATTTTCCACAAACTAAAATTTATAAAAAGTCTATCTGTAATTTTCAGTAAATAGTTTTCAGGGTACAATAAATTTGAAGAAATAAAATACAATATCGATTAATGATGAAAAAATATATACTAACAACACTCACTTTAGAATCCGAAAGACACTCCTTAGAAACAATTGATGCATCAGCAGTATCTAAAACAAAAATTAATACTCAAGTGAAAATTGTTCAAACAAATTTCGAAGCAATAAATAATAGGAAAGATAATCTCAGATATTTTTATTATCTGAATTATTGGAGGAAAATATCAGTTTATTTCAAAAAGTCACTAAGTACACCTTTGATGGAACTAAACTTTAAAATATATATTTGTAAAAATCGACAATATTTATTATCATTAATTGTATAGTAATAATACAATAATACCTTTTACACCCCAAAAATACTTACACCAAGAACACAATGTTTAATTTCACACAGAGAATATTTGTTAAATTACTTGGTGATGTAACATTCTAAAATGTTACATAATAAACTTCTGCAATAAGCCCACAAAATGATTAGCGCTAAAAGATGGCATAGTTATTGTATTTTTTAATAGTTACTTATGAGAACTTTAATTATTTTAACCTATTCCTAGAATAATTTTATACTTTATATCTTATTAAAAGAGAAATAATATGTATCTTAAAAATTGAATAATAGTACAGGCTTAGGGAATACAAAGGTTCGATACTGCTATGTATCATAGGCTGGCGTTCGAATTATATATAAATAATATATTTATATTATTTTCCACCAGGTGGTGAAATCCCCAGATCAAAGTTGCAACACTGAGCCAACACCATCAGAAATTCTGGCAGCAGTAAAGCAGCTTGATAATTATTTTAATCAGGAATTATTTTAATAAAAAATATTAAAGTAGCTCTAGACAAGTACGGAGACCTGAGCTTCGAAGTAAATTCTAGGCTATCTAAAATTTAAAACCACTTAGAGGGACAATCTAAGCATCTAGAAGAAATAATTTCAGAGAATAAAGCCCTCAAATCTAGAATCGGTGAACTGGAGGTCAGGCTGAATAAAGCCGAACAGGGGCTGCTTAGTAGATCGCTCGAGATCCGGGGCATCCCGGTTCGAGCAGGTGAGACCCCCACAGCCCTGGTTACAAGTATTGGGGACGGCCTGGGCATTAAACTTAATGTTGAAGATACAGACACTGTGCAGCGCCGAAGAGCCAGAAAAGATGACCTTCGATCCCTGTTTACTCCTCAACATCGATAAACAATTTGGCATAGTTTACAGGACTCACATTGAAAATCTGAAATGTATGTTATGTTACTACTGGAAATTTTTGATTAATTTATTTCTATTGATTATTGCTTTCACATATTTTTTTCTTTTTAATGGGTTTTTTTCTTATATTTTAATTTTTACATTATTTCATCTAATGTATCATATCCGGTCCAGCCTCTGCTCATCAAATTCTGACTTTATTTTCCCCAAGCCTAATCATGTCTAACATCCTTAATACCTGTCACGTCAACTCCCAATCCCTCCCAGCCCACTATGATGAATTCCTTGAATACTTTACCCATAATTTTTACCATATCATTGCAATTTCCGAAACCTGGCTCAAGCCTTACATCCCTTCCACATCTGTTTCCCTTCCTAACTACACACTAACCACCACGACAGGAGCCAGACTGGCGAAGGTGTAGCTTTGAATGTTCACGAATGCCTGAAGACCCGAATACTCCACTGCTCTCCTCCATCCGATCACCCACATGTAGAGTTCCTAATCGTTGAAATTTCCTTTGATACATCTCCTATCCTTTATGTCGTAGTGTATAGACCTCCTCTTGTTCTCTTGTATCAGTCCTTTGAATAATCCCTCTTCAACTTTGTTCCTCTGTATACCAAAATCATCATTTCCGGTCACCTAAACACTAATTTCCTTTCTGACTCCAGCGATAAATCATACCTCGAAAACCTTTTTTTCTCTCTTCATCTTTTCATTGTTCCTTTTCCTTCCACTCATCACACCCCCAGGTCCGATACCTGGTTGGACCATTACATTATCGACTCCTCTCAGAACCTCCTTTCCTCCTCACAAGTACTGGTCTCCTTTTTATCCTCTCATGACCTAATCCAAATTTCATATAATATCCATACTCCTCCGATCCTACCTAGAACCATAACTTTTCGTAACATTGATGTCCTCACTTGGGAAAAAATTTTACTCTACCTGGAAACCCTTGAGTGGAATGGAATATGTTCCTGTTCATGTATTGACTCAATGGTTGATATTTCAACTTCCAACCTAGTTATCCTTGATGCCCATGCTCCCATCAAAAACTCTACCTTTCGTCGCCCCCCGGCTCCCTGGATGTGTCAGCAAATTAAAGATCTTCAGAAGAGACGTGATGCGGCCCGCAGACGCTTTAAACACACTAGGCTCGCTGACGACTACCAAGCGTTTAAGGTGCTCCGTAACCTGACACAAATCAAAATCCGACGAGCCAAATCCACCTATTTCCACGAAGCCCTTTCATCAGCTCCTGATTCCAACTCATGGATTCCAACGGCTACTCTTTCGTAAACTCTCCCTCTGTGAATCTTCCAGATCTCCTTCCTCAGCAGTCTTTCCAGTCAAGCCTGATGATTTAAATTCATATTTTATATCAGCTTCCTCTTCCATTACTCCATCAACATCTTGCTTCTTTACTCCTGGAATATCATTTAACGATGACAACTTTTATTTTTCAGATATTTCTCCCACAGACCTCATATCCGCCGTGATGAAATCTCATTCCAATTCTATTGGTCCAGATTGTATTCCTGTTCAATTAATCGAATTGTGCCTATCTGAAATCCTTCCTGTTCTCTTTTTTATCTACAATTTCTCCCTTCAGAACTCAGTATTTCTGTCCTCATGGAAAAAAGCCATTGTCCGTCCTTTACTTTAAAATCCTAACCCTTCTTCCCCTGAAGATTACCGTCCAATCTCAATCCTTTCGAACAGTCCAACAAACTTGACCCTTTCCAGTCTGGTTTTCGACCAGGTTACTCCACGCAGTCCGCCCTAATCAAAAATCATTAGTGATGCTCAGTCCGCCATAGATGACAAAAAACTAACTGTCCTTGTACTCCTTGACTTCTCTAAAGCCTTTGATACCATTAACCATTCCATCCTTTTCTCCAAATTAAAATCGTTATCCTTTTACAACAGCTCTATCCTTTGGTTTCAATCTTTCCTCTCTCAACGTACCCAAGCAGTCTCTGTTCCTAACCAACCTTTATCTTTCTCTCTAACCCTGTCCTCAGGAGTGACACAGGGCTCTAGCATATCTCCTCTCCTTTTTAGTTCATATATTAACAATCTTCATAAATCAATCCTTCACTGTTCCTATCACCTTTGTGCCGTTGATTCCCAAATTTACCTCTCCTTCACTCCCTCTGAGTGGCATGATGCGTTTGCCAAAATACAAGAAGACCTAAATCGAATCTGTGTCTGGGCAAATGAAAATAGATTAAGGTTAAACGCTGCTAAAACCCAAGCCATTGTCATTGGTTCCAAACCCCTTCTCAGATCCAATACCAACATTCCTCTCCTCTACCTAAATGATCAACCCATCACTTTCAACTCTTCAGTTAAAAACTTGGGTATTTTCATAGATCAAACCCTCTCCTGGAATCACCATATTTCCCAAATATCCCGACACTCAGTTTCCACCCTGAAACTCTTCCATCGCTTCCGCCATCTCCTACCCATGTCCACACGTAGACTCCTAGTATCCGCCCTCATCTTCCCCTACCTTGACTACGGCTGCGTAGTGTATGGTGGCCTCTCATCGGAACTTGGAGACAGATTGAAAAGAATCATGAATGGCTTAGTAAGATTTGTCAATGGAACCCCGAGACGTTCTCGTGTATCTCACTACTACGACGAGTTAGGGTGGCTCTTCCCCTCCTTCAGAAGACAATATTTTCCTAGGTACATTCCTTTACCAAATAATCCATAATCATCGTCCGTCCTACGCATTCAATCTCCTTCAATTCAAGTCATCTATCCACTCCCTCTCCACAAGATCTTGTCCTTCTGACTTTTATATCCCTTTCCACAAATCTGCCTCCTTTCAACACTCCTTTATTGTCCGCACCACTACCTTTTCAAATTCCATCCCACTTAAAATCCGCCATGCACCATCCCTATCCATAATTAAAACCCTTCTATTCCAATTCCTCCTTACAATTCAATCAGATGCTGGGTAGCCATTTATCATGTAACAAAATTGCATTTTTTTCTATTTATCATTTGTATATAAATATATTTTTTTTTTTTGAGCATGGAAAATATGTCTAATCACGTTCTGTAAAGTAAATGTAATAAGGTAAATACTTCTGCTATCACTTAGTTTTTAGTTTTTTTTTTTTATTGTAATATGTATTTTGGCCAGATGGAATGTTAATTTTTATTTACAAAATTGTTGTTCTTAAGGGACTTTGTCCCAGAATAAAGTTGATTCTTCTATTCTATTCTATATTTAATATAATATAAAAGAATGTATTTAAAAGATTAATATAAATAAATAAACTTAATCAAATAAAGAAAGAGGAGCTACCGACACAAGTAAATCAGGTAGGATCCTAAGGGGACTGAGACTGTTCGGTATACTGTCTGCTATTCGATGCAATAAAGATAAGCATAATGGACGGTCAAGGTAGGTGCAACAGTCAGAACAAGAACCTGGAAAAGTGGTAAAGGAGAGTCTAGAGGAGACACAGTGAGTTTAAGACAGCCAGAGGTGCAGAGCAGTTCTGGAGGAAAAGGTCTGAGAAGAGGTCAAGCCATAATAGTTCTTTGGAGATGAGAGTCCAGGGAAGAAAGAAGCAAGCTGTTTCACAAGAGAGGCTACAAATGATTCTGGAAGGGAGATAAGAGTCCAGAGGAGAAAGAAGCAAGCTGTTACACAACAGGCTAGAGATGATTCTGGAAGGAAGATGGACATAACCTAGAGTACATTGGTAAAGCAGATCATTCCACCAGCTGTCAGTTACACCAAATGCTAAATCATAACATTCATTTATATATTACCAAGTAAACTTGTGTTTGGCAATCTATAAAATAATAGTCCTATGCACACATAGCATTCTCCAGTAAAGAGTTCCATTAGTATAAATAATGATTCAGATC